TCTGTGATTCATCAGTCTTACACAATTCACAGTGCTCACCATAGACATACCCTCCCCAATGTCTATCACCCAGCCACCCCATCCCTCCCACCCCCCACCACTCCAGCAACCCTCAGTTTGTTTCCTGAGATTAAGACTAAAGAATTTTTTTAAAAAACATGAATGTTTTATACTGTTTTCCCCGAGAGCTGAAGTTCTTAATTCTCTATGATCTGTAAACTTGGTTCTAGCCAGTTGTTCCTGCTGGTCTTCTGGGGAGAAGTGCCTGTTGAGCTGATTCTCAGGTGCCCTTGTAGTTGTGGAAATGTGCTTCCTTTGCCAGGGGGCTGGGCTCAGTGTAAGAGGCACTGGATTCCACTATGTGGTGCTGTTTTGCTCCCTGAAGGATTTCAGTACAGATGGGCAGGATGAAAATGCTGGCACCCCACTCTTTAGCCCCAGAGCTGAAAGTCTGTACCCTTCCACTCTTCAGTGAGCACTCACAAAGATGCAGTCATCTTGTCTCCCTGGTTTCCATCTGAACTCTGTGTTCACCCAGCCTGTGACTGTTTTCATCTGAGGCATGCAACTAAGTTTCAAGTATCCAAATTTTATGGACTCTTGCTGTGCAGATCCACGCTGTTCCTCCCAGGGGAGGGAGGGAGTCTCACCTCACTTCTGCCTTTTCCTGGGCCCCTGCCAGGAGAGGAGTTGTGGCCCCATGTGGCAGTTCACAGTTTATGGCAACACTGAGCAAAAAGCCGGTGCCAACACTTGTTGTTTTCAGCCAGCTTCCCCACTCTAATGCCTGGGAATTCTGCTGCACTCAAGCACCCCCATTCTTCTTGTGACCCTGGGGATCCAGAGACCACACTGTCCCACCTAGGATTCCACCCCACTTTGCCACTTGAGCACCTTTAATCCAGAGTTGTCCTCCACTATAGTAGACTTTTAAAGTTCCGATTTTGTCCTCTGCTGCTTATAATACTTTAATTTAGCCTCTTTAAGCTGGTTCCGTCCCTGCCGCCATCTCCTTCAATATACTGCTCCAGATTCACGTCTCCACACTTCTTACTTTCCCAAAAGTGGTTGCTTTTCTATTAGTAGAATTGCAGCATTTCTTTTCTCAGATCTCTGATTGATTTTGCAGGTGTTCAGAATAATTTGATAACTATCTAGCTGAGTTCCAGGGACCAGACAAACTTAAGGTCTCCTACTCCTCTGCCATCTTAACTCCTCCTCTCTCCAGGTCTTTAATGTATTTTGAGTTAATTTTTGTGTATGGTATTAAATAGGAGTCTTGATTCATTCTTTTGCATGTGGGAATCCAGTTTTCACAGCACCATTTGCTCAAAAGACTGTCCCCATTGAAAAACATAGTCTCTTCAACAAATGGTGTTAGCAAAACTGGTCAGCTACATGCAAAAGAATGGAACCAGACCACTCTCTTACACCATACACAAAAATAAACTCAGGGGCACCTGGGTGGCTCAGTCGTTAAGCGTCTGCCTTCGGCTCAGGTCGTGGTCCCAGGATCCTGGGATCGAGCCCCGCATCGGGCTCCCTGCTCGGCGGGAAGCCTGCTTCTCCCTCTCCCACTCCCCCTGCTTGTGTTCCCTCTCTCGCTGTCTCTCTCTGTCAAATAAATAAATAAAATCTTTAAAAAATAAATAAATAAATAAATAAATAAATAAATAAATAAATAAACTCAAACTGGATGAAAGACTTAAATGTGAGACCTAAAATCATAAAAATCCTAGAGGAGAGCACAGGAAGTAACCTCTTTGACATTGCCAGTAGCAACTTCTTTCTAGCTATGTCTCCTCAGGCAAGAGAGATAAAAACAAAATAAACTATTGGGACTATATCAAAATAAAAAGCTTCTGCACAGTGAAGCAAACAGTCAACAAAACTAAAAGGCAACCTACAGAATGGGAGAAGATATTTGCAAATAACTTATCTAATAAAGAGTTAGTATCCAAAGTATATAAAGAACTTACACAAATCAACACTCAAAAAACAACTAATTCAATTAAAAATGGGTAGAAGAAATGAACAGACATTTCTCCAAAGAAGAAATCCAGATAACCAACAGATACATGAAAAAATGCTCAATATCACTCATCATTAGGCAAATGAAATTAAAACTACAATGAGGTAACACCTCACACCTGTCAGAATGGCTGAAATCAACAACACAAGAAGCAACAAGTGTTGGTGAGGATTTGGAAAGAAAGGACCCCTTTTCACACTGTTGGTGGGAATGCAAAGTGGTGCAGCCACTGTGAAAGACAGTTTTGATTTTCCTCAAAAAGTTATAAATAGAACTATCCAACAATCCAGTAATCCCACTACTGGGTATCTACCAAAAAAATACAACAGTAATTCAAAAGGATACACATACCCATAAATTTATAGCAGCAAAATATATAGAAGCAGCCCAAGTGTCCATCAATTGAAGAGGTAGGGTAAATATATACAATGGAATACTATTCAGCCAGAAAAAAGAATGAAATCTTGCCATTGCAGCTACATGGTTAGAGCTAGAGTGAATAATGCTAAATGAAAAATGTCAGTCAAAGAAAGAAATACCATATGGTTTCACTCACATGTGGAATTTAAGAAATAAATGAGCAAAGGAAAAGTAAACAATAGAGAGAGAGAGGCAAACCACAAGACAGACTCTTAACTATAGAAAACAAACTGACAGTTACCAGACGGGGGGGTTGGTGGGGGGTGGGTGAAATAAGTGATGGGGATTAAGGAGGGCACTCCTTGTGATGAGCTTCAGATGTTGTATGGAAGTGTTGAATCACTATATTGTACACCTGAAACTAATATAACACTGTGTTAACTACACTGTAATAAAGTAAAAATAATAATAAAGAAAAAAATCTCTTTGCTAGTTACAATAAGATTCAGATTTTCTTAAAAAATAGATTCAGATTTTCTATTTCTTTATGCTTTAGTCTTGGTAGGTTTTCTATTCTAGGACTCTGTCTATTTCATCTAGGTTATCCAATTTGTTGGTGTACAATTTTTCATAATACTACCTTAGATATATATTTTTTTATTTCTGATTTTAGTAATTTCACTCTTCTCTCTTTTTTCTTAGTCCATCTCACTGAAAGTTCACCAATTTTGTTGATCTTTTCAGAGAACCAACTTTTGTTTTCATTGATTTTCTTTATTGTTTTTCTATTCTATGTTTTATTTATCTCTGCTCTAGTCTTTATTATTTCCTTCCTTCTTCTATTTTTGGATTTAGTTTGTATTTCTTTTCCTAATTCCTTAAGTCCTAAAGTTAGGTTGTTAATTTGAGATCTTTTTTAATGTGAATATTCATAGCTATAAATTTCTCCCTTAGCCCATTTTCCATGGCATCTCATGTTTTGCTATGCTTTGTTTTCATTCTCATTTGCTTCTTGGATCACAGGTGTGGCATTATGTGTAGAAATTGAGTAGAAAACAAGCCAGAAACACTGAACTAGGGTTTGAGCCAGCATAAATGCTCAGGGTATTGTCTTGGTATTTCTGGTTAATATCAAAGTTGACCCAAGCTAGGTCAGAGGTGGTGGGTCATGGAACAAAGAAAACTCCAGGAATCATGGCTCAGCTACTTAGTTCAGGACCTGTACATAGATATGATAATTTTATTGCTCAGAAATGGTTTAGGATTGAGGCAAGATCAGATATTGAGATGGACCCTACCAGGAAATGCAGCTATGAGAAGAGGGACAATAAACGTAGGGGAAATGGGATTGAACCTGACAGTGGGGTGGGAGAAAGCCCTGGCTTTAAGTCCTGATTCTGTTCCTAATCAGTTATTTGAATTTGGGAAGATCAATTCCACCTCTCTGAGCTGTAGTTTCCTTATCTGTAAAATGAAAATATCCCCTGTCCTGTATATGATGTTTGAAGATCAAAATGAGATAATGGATTTTAAAATGCTTTTTATAACTGTAAGTTGTAATAAACTTGGAAGGAATTATTCTTATTATTACAAATAGAGGATTTTTAAAATCTTTTTCACTTCCCCTTTCTCTCCCTCCTTCTTATTTTGTTTCCATCCCCCCTGGTCATCTCTGTTTTTATTCCCATTATCTCTCCTTCCCATCTTCCAGGGCCAGTGATCCGGGCTGAGGTGGGTGACACCATCCAGGTGGTCTTTTACAACCGTGCTTCCCAGCCATTCAGTATACAGCCTCATGGAGTCTTCTATGAGAAAGACTACGAGGGAACTGTGTACAATGATGGTGAGCAAGCAGGGTTTCCAACTAATATGAGATTCAGGTAATAGCAGATAGGTCTAGAGGAAAAATAAATAGGAGAGGGAATGAGGGAGGAGACAGAATTGATTGTCCTGCATGGATGTTGTTAAATGAATACATGATATTATAGTGAAGCAGAACTGAGTTCAATAAGAGACATGTTCTTTTAAATATATTTAAATATATTCTGATTGACATTTTATTTTTTAAAATCTTTTAAAAGATTTTATTTATTTGAGAGAGGGGAGAGAGAGAGAGCATGAGTGGGGAGTGGCAGAGGGACAAGCAGACTCCCCACTGAGCATGGAGCTTTATGTGGGGCTCAATCCCAGGACCCTGAGATCATGACCTGAGCCAAAGTCAGATGCTTCACCGACTGAGCCACCCAAGCACCCCTGATTGACATTTTAATGATATTTGTTCTTCCAATCCATGAGCATGGAATGTCTTTCTATTTCTTTGTGTCATCTTCAATTTCTTTCATTTGTGTTTTATAGTTTTCAGAGTACAGTTCTTTCACCTCTTGGGTTAGGTTTATTTCTAAGTTCTTATTATTTTTGGTGCAATTGTAAATGGGATTATTTTCTTAATTTCTGTTTCTACTGCTTCATTATTAGTGTATAGAAATGCACCAGATTTCTACATTGATTTCTTTTTATTT